AAAGCTTTAAAAATCTCATGGAAACAAAATCCTCTCTGTCCAAAATGTCTGGATCAAGGCTTTGAATAATTGCTTTGTAAATGAGCTTTAATAATAGTCGGACTTGATGATCTTAGAGGTCTTTTCCAACTTTAATGATTCTGTGATTCTATAATTACAGACAAAGATGCTGGATCCAGGTCTGGTGCTGATTTCTAGGGATATTAGCAGGAGACGAATAATCTGCACTTGCCTTGTGGTGCAGGGTGTCTCTAATACCATCTCCCTTCTGGCTGTAACACAGGGAGTCAGCAGACAGGGTTGTCCTGCACATGGGAAAATATGAGGAACTGATCGTCTGCTCCCATGAAATCGCTGCCAGCACAGCCCAGCTCGTGGCTGCTTCCAAGGTGGGTGTCCCAGCAGGATCCTCTGCCTGTCTCCTGAAGCCATAGGTCATTCTGTTCCACAGCATTCCCAGCAATGCAGCCTCCTGGGGCAGGGAGAAGGGAAGCTCTTGCCATTTTCCGGTCAGTCCATGAGTTTAATCCACGTGTCTTCATGTGCATTAATATTCCCACACCCAGGGCTTGCCTTGGAAGTGAAGGTGTGTAAAACCTCCCGTCTTGTTATGTAAAGAAAATGTTAATAACTAACAAGAAATCCAAAAAAGCAGCTGCAGGAGCCAGAATTGAGGATGGTGGATTTGGGTCTTGCCACCTTCCCTGTTGGGGTGGGTGAAACGATGGGTAGAGGTTTCAGTGAGCGAACAAGGATGCAGGTGGGGGAGTGGAGGATCCCTAAGGCTTTTTACAGCAGGTGGTTTTAAAATCCATATATTTGTGTAAAAAAAATAAATTTCTTTTTCTAAAAAATATTTTTTTAAGATCTATATTTATACGTATTATTATATTATAGGCTATATGTAATTATGTGATTATATTAATATAGCATTTGCTGTTTAATATATTTATATTTTTATTTATATATATAAATTTTATAATTATACTACTATATAATAGAATTTATTAGATATTATATAATATCTAATAATATAATAAAATAATAAATATAACAATATATTATATAGAATACATTGTATGTTATAATATATAATTCTAACATTATAAAATGATTATGTTTTTAATTTTACAGTTTATATATAGAATGTATATATTTATATGTCAATATTATAATACATTACTTATAAATTATAGACTATATTACAATTGATTGTTTAAATGAATATATGAATATCGGTTATAGTTAATTTTAAGATAAAATATAATAGTATATTGATATTATGCATAGTTATTTAAATACATGTAAATTATATATATTTAAGTAAAATATATATACTATATATAATATAAAATTATTTTTAAAATTATAGCTATGTCTTCACTGTGTGCTTGGCTCAGGTGGGAGCAGAGCTGGTTTGGTGCCCTGGGGCTGAAGGGCTTTGCAGGGATCACCTTGTCTGGCCATGATGGGATCACTGAGGATAAACCTTCCCATCTGTCCATCCATCCTTTCCACCCCCGGGTTTTTGTGCCCAAGCTCTGACATGGGGCACTCAATGCCTCTGCCTGAGCCACCCCAAAGTGTTGAGCACCCAGGTGGAGGTGCCCTGGTGGCACCCACAGCCATCCCTGTGCCCATTGCAGGTGAAAGCCGAGAAGAGCAGCAGGAACCTGGCCCGGCTCCAGGAGTGCTCGCGCAACGTCAACGAGATGGCGGCCAACGTGGTGGCTTCCACCAAGTCGGGGCAGGAGCAGATCGAGGAGAAAGGTGAGGCTTTTGCAAGGAAAAGGTAGAAGAAACCACCCCAATCCCTTTCTGGCCTGGGGAACGCCCTGAGGTGTCTGTCCAGCTTTGCTTTTGGTGTGTGAGGGTGCACTGAGTGAGGAGCCCTGCTTTTCTCCCCAGACACCATGGACTTTTCGGGCATGTCCCTCATCAAGCTGAAGAAGGAAGAGATGGAAACACAGGTACGGCCATGAGGTGGATTCGGTGTGGCTGTGGACAGATCCGGACCCGCACAGGGCGGGTCCCTTCTGCCCCCCAGCACGGGTCCCAGGAGGGCTGTTTGGGCGCAGGTGAAGGTGCTGGAGCTGGAGAAGCGGCTGGAGGGGGAGCGGGTGCGCCTGGGCGAGCTGAGGAAGCAGCACTACGTCCTGGCCGGGGGCTGCGACGCGGCAGCAGAGGATGGGGAGGCCAGGCCGGCACCGGCCCCCCGACGAGGCATCCTCAAGAAACCCCCCATCGCCCAGAAACCCGGCCACGGGGAGGTAGGGACCCCAGAGAGGGGTATAAGTCAGGGAGGGTGGGTGTTCTCGGCACGAGTGACTGATATTTGGCTCTGTCCCCCTTCTCGTTTCAGCCCGAGCGAGACGCCGGCCTGTGTCCCCCTCACGGGGCCAACGTCTAGCGGGGGCTGCCGGGGGTCCCTGGGATCACGTTGCCTTCGCGCTGCTGTGCCTTCACGCGCGGGGTCTCCTCACCGCCCGGCCTGGAAAAAAACCCAAACTGGATTTTTTTTTTTAAAGAATATATTTTATTTTTTAGGTTTTTTTTTTTT